CTACCGAGAGATCTGCTCATAAAACTATTAGCTTCATGTGTTTTATTTATATAAAAACATATATAAGATCTTTTATAGAGATTATAATTTAAGTTAAATTTAGATTTGATTTATAAAACTAAAGTGAAACAAATCATATTCTATTTATAAAATCCAGTTGCATAATTATTATTCAAATTAGAGTTTAAACCATAAAATTCCAGAAATAGTGACATGGTAACCACTGTTACTAACCCGTAGATCTCGTTGCTATGAATCTAACGCAACTTAAATTGGCTAAAACGGAGTTAAAACGTAGAAGATATGATTTAAACAAGATTTTCTTTAACAAAATAATAGATTAAATCTAACCTCGAATTTTAAAAGTTGAAAATATACTTAACAGTAGTATGAACATGTAGATTACGAAATTATGAACCTAACATAAGTTGAACGGGTCAAATCGGAGTTAAAACAGAGAAGTTATGGCTAAAACAAAATAAGTGGCAATTCTGTAAATAGTTGAAAACGTATTTTAGACTTAACCGAAATAAAATACGCTTTCAAATGAAGAAAACAAAATCTGTAAACATATTTTGGACTGCGGGTTTATTTGCCTAAAATACATGGGCTCTTTAGTAAAAAGAACAACGAAGGGGTATGTTTTAATCTGAGCCATTGATCTAAAAATGGACGGCTTAGGATGATTGTGTATTTCTATTGTATTTCAGGATTTATTTTTGTAAAGGAAAACCGCCACAAATAGAGCATGACGTTGGAGATGATGTCATCAAGCTAACTAGCAATTTGAATCACGGCGACGCATGCACGGCTCACGGCAGTGACACCATGTACAGCGGCGACCAGAGCTCGCCGGAGCTCGGTAAAAATAGCGCAGAGGCCATGGTTAACCAAACGAAGAGCACCAGGAGACCGAGCGAAGGACGGCGTGCTCACCTTGGTGTTTATAATGGGCGGAGAAGGCTTGGCGGCGTCGCGGGGCTCGAAGAGGAGGACGACGGCTTCCTACACCCGAAGCTCGGCAGCAACTCGTGGAGGTCGGCACAGGAGCGAACGGCGTCTTCCGTGGTGGCGGGCGGACATGCTCTGCTCGGCGAGATCCGAACGCGACGGCAACGCAAACTCAGGCATGGACGGCGGTGAAACAGCAGGCGATGTCAACGACGACAGCGGCGTGAGCTCGGATGGAGGCGACGGCTTGTGCTTGGATTTGACGAGGGCGTAGCGGTGCCGGGGCTCGGTATTTATGAGACCGGGCTGCTTGAGGCGCAAGGCAAGGCGACGCTAGGCGACCTCGGACTCTCGGCGGCGGAGTCCGGCCTAGTTACGTGAGGTAGGAGAAAGGCCTGACCTGCGGGCCCGGGCTGTCGGTGAGTGCGGAAGGAAAGGAGGGGCACGCTGCGGCCTTGCTGGCTGCGAAGCTGGGCCGGCGCGGTGACTTGGGCAAGCGCGAGAGAGGGAGACCGGGATGGGCCGCCGGAAGCAAAGGCCGAGTGGGGAGCGGGAAGCGGGCCGCACGGTGCCGAACGGAGCTGAACAGGCCGTCGCAGTGGAGAGAGGGAGAAAGTGAGTTTCCATTTTCAATTTTTTTTCCTATTTAGTTTTTTTTTAAACCAAATTCAAACATGACCAAAGTCAAATTCAAATGGGGTTTCAAATATACTTTTTCAACTCAAGTAAAAATGAGGAATTTTAGTAAGTCTTCCAAAAAAATATTTTTACAACTTTTTAAATTCTTTTATTTTCAAATTTTCTTTTCTTTTACTTCAAAGCCATTTTTAATTCCTTTTGCAAAAGCAATTCAAACCACTCAATCAAATACTTCAAATTCAAGGGCATGTATGCTCAAACATGTTGCTAGCTTATGATGAATTTTAATTTAATGAAAAATTTTATTTTCCTATATTTCATGTGCACAAAAATTCACAAATAAATCATTTTAAACCTATTTTCAAAAGAAGCAAATTTTAGGGTATTACGTGACCCAACAGGAGCATGTGAAAATTTCAAGCGTCCTTCGTTGCAGCCGTGAAGTTATTCCTCATACTGTACTGCCAAACGTTCAAGAACGAGATCGTGAGGCGTGAGCTCAGGATCATTTCTTCGTCGTGATCACAAACTCCATAGGCCTCGCCGTCTGATACATATGGCAGGGTAGATGGACCAAGTTGGTGTCATACTGCCATACTGGTGAGCACAATTGCAATACAATCATCTGAACATTGTGGATTATATAAGTAGAACAGTGTTGTCAGTATATAACTAAATGTAATGAATTGTAAAAAATGTAGATTGTGCTCTACATTGACGTGGGCACACTGATTGGCAAGTCCAAGTCCGGCAGCGGAGTACCTGATGAAGCTCACATAACTGATCTGGAACCACCATGAGATCTGGCACATGGACACGCAGCGAGCCTACACCTTCGACATGCACTGTTTTGTGGAGTACTAGTGACCTGCCATTCAACCAGGCACACGACATCAGTCAGTCGCTGCAGGAGAAGTTGGAGCAGCTGCTCGAGGTCTTGCGTGCCTTTGTCCACGTGGACTTCGAGTTCACAAACCGGGCCGGGCACAATTGATGTCTGATTGCTTAGTTACTTTAGATCCCAGTTCAGTTGTAATGCTGTTGTAGATCTTACTTCATGAGCTCACAACTCTTAAAAGGGCATCTAGATGTCTTTGTTGTGTGACGTCATGAAAATTGGAATACCATTTTGTATATAGATAACTATTCTCTTAGAAAGGAAAATCCCATTGCAGGTTCTGCGATACACTATTCCAATCTCAGAGTATGTAACCAGCTCATAATTCCGGAGGTAAATCCACAATAAATGGTTGCCAGTAATGCTAATTCAAATGATGGCATAACACCTGCACAAGCAAGGATGATGTCGCCCTCACAGACTGCTCCGCATGACGCCCACCTGAGACTCCTTGGAACAGTTATTCTTGGACCTACAGAATAGACGATTCAGCAAAAGAGTCAGGCACTCTAAATTTGCACCTCTGTTCCGATCTGTGGCCCAGAGAACGTGGAGCAGAAGGCGACTGCTATGGAGGATTTCAGACGAGTCTAACTCCTGGTGTGAGTTTTGTTAAACACATATAAGTCCAACTCCCTGGCGTGGATACAACTAGGCTAGATTATTGGCTCTGGAAGTTTGAAATTAATCGTAATGTTATATATGTCTTTATCATCACTCGTTGCAACGCACGGGTAATTTTGCTAGTCCAGTTAAGAAGTTTGATGGGTGAACAATGTCGGTTTACCAAACTTTTTCTTTATTACGGAGCAGTGCAACACGTACATGTTGGCACACCAGATGTGTCAAACTGAAGAACAAGATTCAGGTGGCAACTTCAGTTATTAGGCACCAAAATGTAGTGCAAAATATCAGGAACAGTGAAATTCGAACTTCAAACAGAAATGGACACACGAATTTTTTGAACTCCTATAATATACTGCTTGATCGATCAATCCTCTTCAGTCTTTCACCAGCCAAGCCCAATGGCGGCGGGCACGGGGCGGCCAGGGCGGGCGGGCGCGACGAGGTTGCCGGCGGGGTCGTAGTTGATGACGCCGGAGAAGTCGGGGAGCTGGCACTTGCCGCCCATGAGGATGCCCTTCTGCCAGACGCACGGCGACGCCTCCAGGCCGCCGGGCTGCACCTGGTGCACGGCCGCGATGGCTGGCTCCGTCCGCCGCCGGCTCACGCTGGCCAGGGCGCGCCGCAGCCGCCCGCCAGGCCCCGGCGCCGAGTACGACGCGCACAGCGCCAGCGCCAGCGCGCACACGGCCAGGAAAGCTGCCGCGGCGGACACCGCAGGGCCGAGGTGGGTGCCTGGCCCTGACGCAGCCGGCAGCGCGGCGGCGATCGCGTGGAGCGCGAGGTGGCGCGGCATGCTTGCTTTAATTTCTGGAGTGGAATCCCAGAAGTGTTTTCTCTGACTCTGAGCGGTCACTCGATCAGGTGTGGTGTGCTGGCTGCTTATAATGCGTCTTTTTTAGCTTGTTTTTTTTTGGAGTGGAACCCTGTTTGTTTCTCTTAGAATCTGTCTTTTTCAGCTTGTTTTTTTAGCTGAAATAGTATTTTTCTCTCGCAACAAATCAACCAGAACAGTGTTTTGTCTTATTTTTTCAGCGAAGCGAACAAGCGGTGAATGGCTGAATCCTGCGGCGTTGGAGCGCGCTGGATTTTATGAATTTATAGCGGCAAGCCACCGAAGCCAGATTTGCCGTGCTTTTTTGTGCGTGGAGTAGTTTGCTTGCTCTGCCTGTGAAAGAGCTGCATGGAGCTGGTGGTGGAACCAAGACTGGAGAGTGGTTTGCTAGCTCTGCATGTTCCAACTTGCCCAGGCATTGACTCTTGAGTGCTAACTGAACCATTCTGTTTCGAACCTTTCCAAAATTCAGCTATTTTAAAGTAGTAATTTGAAGCTTTAAAAGGCCTAAAAATTGACTGCAGCTTCTAACAGACATATTGCTCAAATCAATATTTATTATGTTTTTGTTTGTGATATGTAAGGATGGAAAATATCTCAGTTTGGGTCACTTTACCTGACGAGATAAAACAATATGTTGCCAATTATGCTACTGCTCCCTCTGTCCCAAAAACAATGCAATTTTCTCAAGTTTGACTTATTTTATAGAAAAAAAATCAATATTTATGTCTCCAAATAGTTTTACTATGAAAATATATTCCATAATCAATATAACGATACTTATTTGATTAATACTTTTTTCCCTATAGAGGTGGCCAAAGTTAAAATTGTTTCTCTTCCGGAATTGAGAATTGCATTTTTTTTTTTCATTTTACAATCTCTATTGGCGAGGCATCAGCCTTTTATTCCGTCTTCCAATCAAGAAACAAAGCAACTCAATCCCCCAACCCCCAACCCCAACACACAAACACACAAAAACTGACACAATAATTGCGTGCATTGTTTTCTAAGAGTATTATGATCAGTAATTTTAGATGTTTCTGGTCCTGATTCCTACTGCCACACAGATATCATGGCATCCTTCAAGATCCTGAGGGCTTCTCCAATCCCATCCTGTGCACAATATAACAAAGTGAAAAGTAGTAAGTTTTCAATCTTATTTTGAAAATAATAAGCATTGGTCTACATGGCTATACCCTTGATACAATGATTGTAGAGTTCCATCGAGACAACGCACCTCAAAAGAAAGCCTATCAGCAATTCTGGCCACCTGAGTTTTGATTTCTGGTGATAAAGCTGATCTGATAGCTCCAACTAGCACATCGGCAGCATTGTGGATGCTCAAGGCGTCATCATTATCTGGGACTAGATTTTGTCTTTGTAGGGGTTCAGGCGCCACTCCTAACCAATGTAGCCTCTCTGCCCAGTAAAATTGGTCCAGCAGGAAAGGACATGTTACCTGCATGAAAAGATTTAGTACAATGGTCCATCCCAAAGCAGGTAGCCATATCATTAAATGGTCAAGAAAATGCAGAATCTTGAAGATGACGTATTTGTTTGAATCGGTATCAGAACTTCAATTTTTTGTTATAGAATTACTAGGCTTGATGCTTCTTACACATCCAAGTATCACAAGTTTAGTAAAGGACAAGAAAAGAGCAGCAGAAAGACAGCCTCAAACATGACGAAGCTATAGAAACTGCTGTCACCTGAGGGATTCCAGCAAGTAGTGCTGCAGCTGTAGATCCACTGTTATCAAAGCAGTAAAAACATAAAATCGTTTGCGGAAGTACCAGTATCGTGCAAGATTATGAATCAGACACTTGCCAATGAGAGAAAAAATGAGTGCTCTCTTACCTGCCAGCATGGTGAATAGCAGCTGCACATCTAGGAAAAAGCCAACTGTACGGTATTGATCTGAAAATTGTAATATTACTCACAACCAATTCCACATGGCAGGACAAGCATATATAACATCAATCTAGTACTCACCCTAAAAAGCAGAAAAGATGGCCATTAAAAAGGAGAGTGCTGTCACCACCAAGAGAAGGTGACTCCACGCCTCTTGATTCATTTTCTGATGAAGCAATGGATTGGATTGCAGAATCCAATGGCTTGTATCCAGATGAAAAAAGGATGAATCTATAGTCTGATGACTCTATGGCAGCCTTAAGCACCACTAAAAATGCTTTAGGATTTCTAAGAAAGCCCATTCTGCACCAGATTGGTCATAAAAGAAAATATGTAAGAAAAAAAATCTGGGAAATTTCTAAGAAGATTTGGAATGACAAGAGGAAAAAAAAACTCCTAAAAACATAGAACATAGATATGTAAAATGAAGCTAGACCTAGAACGTAGAATGTTTTGCAAAGTGCAAAGCCATGTCCATAACTTTCTACTAACAGCTACATTTAGAGCAAAATAAGGCAATGAGAGCTGATCAACTTAGGTTCTACAATCTACATACTCTGATATACACTACTTAAAAATATTAGTTGGTGGTGGTGGTTAGTTCTAAAGTTCTACTATGCCTTAACTCCGAGGACTTTTGTGCATTGATTTGTTCATGCATATGTGTATGCTCAGTGAATCCTTTGTGCACAGCTGTACTGAATTTCTTTGAGGTTATGGATTAATGATAGGTCAGAAAATCTATGTAGCTTCAAGGTTAAAAAATAATATTTGTGAACGATGAATAGCTCGATGAGTAGAGACATAATTTCAATATTTGTTGGAGGTCCATTGCAATGCACAAGCACCAGGATAGAAAGAGTAAAAATAACAATACGAGTAATATTGGATGAGAACACACCTACCAATGGAACTTAATCCTACAAATATAGGTCTTGATGAATAAGCATTCCTTGTCAGGAAGTGTTCCAGGGAAAAATGGTTTGCACACAACATACCGCCAGATGAAGAATTGGTATTTCCAGACAACTCCATGCATTTGTCACAAGAAAATTGCCAAGCCATAGGAAGAAACCAAAAGCCACAAGCATGAGCATTGAATGGCCAATATCCTACCATGATGTTATGTAAAGTATTACTGAAATTAGGTACATGAAATTTGAAGAAATATAAACATCTAAAATGATTTTAAAAAGATGTGGGGGCACCAGAGCTCACCTGGGCACTCCACAATTTCTTTGCTGAAACCATACCTGGAAAAACAAAACTAATAATCATTTATCCAGTATAAACTAATACAAGGGTGGTTTATCATTGTACAATTAATTACCATCAATCAATCACAATATTCATTTCCTAAGTTTCCCGTTGTCAAAGCAGTAGCTCACAGAATATAGAATATGAAGGTGTATTAACTTGATTGTTCTCATATAAGGCATAGGCTTCATATATCAAAGGCGTGATACTAACAGTAATAAAGGTGACTCCTCTCGCACATGCCACAAAGGAAGATTGGTTACTGGATCCTGCAGTTATCAGAAAACCTGACCTCAGTAATGTTCCAACAGCTTAAACAGGACTGCAAACAAACAAACAAAAACAATTATAGATAATACCCACTGTGAAAGGAATAGGGCTAAGATTCAGACAATCATTTCTCCATGATCCCCAACTTTCCGTGAAGAGTGCCCACATCCAGTCGATAATGTCAGTCCAGCAGACCTACCATTGCTTTACAACATTAATGTAGCATTTTCCCCCCTCAATGCTTAAGAGGCATACAACATTTCTCATACATTTCAGATTCTAACATATGAGAATCTGCAATGTCTGTGTCACAGAGGTAGAGATAGAATAAAAAACACATAGCATAAGTATGGTGTATGGCACTATGGCAAACCTGATAATTACATAGAATGGTAAAAGTGTTCAGCCTCAAGGATCTAACGGATATCCCAACTGCTCTACAGGGCTTGGTGTCTACAGAATGAAGTGCTCTATTGTTTCCTCTTATATAATAATAATAATGGGCACTGTGTGAAATACATAAAATGGTAATAGTCATGAGACTATGTCTCTAGAAGACGACCCAATTTATCTGCACGCTATGCAGATAAGTTAAATAGAGTAGCAACTTTAAAAGATATGTTTGCCAATCCGAAACTGATAAATACAATGACAAAGAAGATTTGAGAGAGAAAACATTGTTATGAGGCATTATTCTGTACCGTGTTTGCAGGAGCTTCTTGGAAGTACTTGTACAGTAGAGGAAAATTTTGTTTAAATTGACGTTCAAATGATGTAGGAGCACTGAAAAAAAAACAAGTGCCACAATATTAAATTATTGAAAATGAGGCATAAACACACTAAAATTACTGATACATATATAATAGAGTAATACTGTAGAAGATTAGATAACCCCCTAATGAAATAATTTAAAATGCATATGTGAAATCGAAATCAATATAGCCCAAGTACCTATACGGAACAAAATAGGGAGCAGCAATGACACACTTTACTTGGAATAGTTCTGCGAGGTGCCAACCTTCCTAAATCATGAGATGACCCATATTATGATAGCATAAAAAGCATTTTGTTGCTGAATTAGGTTATTAGAAATGATTCTGATTTCCTAAATATAGAACTGATTGGTTAAAAATATCGTGGATATGTCCTCTGTCATGTCTGATAAAATCCATTATTTCAATTTTCAACATGTGTTGTGAATCAGGGTTTTCGTATCATTACCGCCACTTTTAATAACTGAACAGAATATTTTGAAGAAAATAACAAAACCAAGTTCTAACTTATACATGAACAAAGATATTACTTAGTTACTTACCAAAGCAAAGAAATTGATCACAATAAAATCCCCACTGATGCTTGGATCGTTTCCAAAAACTTCTTCAATAGAAGACAAGCATTCTTTCCTGTGCTCCATCTGAATGGCTTTTTTCCGCATTGAAAAGGACTCACGCTCATGATTTGATTGAATAGAATCGCCTAAGAAAGATAGTTGCATGAATAATCGTTTTTCCCAGGAAATAACTGGATCACATGTGATTCAATTAGCCTCCTGGCAGTGGCACTTACTTGAGATATTCTCTACCTGTTCGGCAGCGAGGACAGGCGGACTTGACACAGGCATGTATCTGACATTGCTGGCCGCTAGATGTGCTGACAAACTCTGCACCAAGTTCATTACATTATGGCACATGAAGTAAACCGGAGTATGAAAACTGTTCCCCTTTAGCAAGCCTTCTTACCCGGTGCGCGGAATGAGTGATGAACACCACAGCATACTCCTGCTGGTCACGCCCAAAAGCTGCAGCAAGCGCCTACAGAACGAATGCGGATGGAATCAAATTGAAAGCACAGCCCTCCAAACTAAATCGAGTCCCTGAGCTTAATTCTGGTGTATTCTGACGGCTTAGTAACAGGTGGAGCAAAAGGAAGCAAAATTGTCTCCAGAAGTCAGCTGCGAGAGGGGGAGCGGGGGAGGTGAAGGAAGAGAAGCATACTGCGATGGGGAAGACGTCGCCTTGAGTGCCGAAGGCCATGAAGACGGCGCGTGGCCGGCGGCCGCCGCCGGCGCGGCCTGCCATGGTCGCCTCGCGAATTTGGGGGTCTCGTGCGTTGCCTCGCCGGCGGGCTGACGCGGATAGGCCGTAGGCGGGCGCTGTCTGTGGGCTACTGATGGGCCGATCCACCTTTCAGCCGAATTTGAAATTTTTTATTAAATAAAGAAAAAAAGTCCAGGTTACTTGTCTTAACTTTTGCGAAAGTCTACTTCCCTCTCTAAACTCTAAAATCAGATAAATCACCTCCCTGAACTTTTAAAACCATTCGTTTTACCTCCCTGGCCAGTTATAAGCGGTTTTCAAAGGCGATTTTGTCTTTTTCTTTTTTATTTATTTCGGCTGAATCTTTGAAAAATCATAGTAAATCACAGAAAAATCATAAAATGAAAAATCCAATTTTGTTGGACTCCATATGAGTAGATCTACACAGTGAACATATAATATGGTATGCTTTAATACAAATTTTTTGTTATAGCTTTAAATTTATGATTTTCTATAATTAATTCATAACTGCAGTTTCTATAGTCTAATTGTGGTGAAATTGTTATAGTGGGCTAATTATTGTATGCTTGAACTGTAGTAAAAATTTCATACTCATTGGATCATGTATAACTTAGTTATATATTTATTTATAATCTAATTCAATGAGTATGAAATTTTACTATAGTTTAAACATACAGTAATTAGTCCACCATAAAATTTTTACTACAATTGGACCATAGAAACTACAGCTATGAATTAATTACAAAATAGCACAGATCTAAAGGTATAGCAAAAAAATTTTACTAAAGCACACCATATTATATGCTCACTGTATAGATCGACACATGTGGAGTCCAACAAAATTAAATTTTCTATTTTATAATTTTTTTTATTTACTATGATTTTCAAAAATTCAACCGAAATAAATAAAAAAGACAAAACCGCCGTTGAAAACCGCTTATAACCGGTCAGGGAGGTAAAACAAACAGTTTTAAAAGTTTAAGGAGGTGGTTTATCCGATTTTAGTGTTCAGGGGAAAAACAGACTTTCGCAAAATTTGAGAAATGTAATGTGGACATTTTCCTTAAATAAAAAACCCAACCAAAAGCCTTAATTGACCTTTTGCTCGAGAAAAAAGGAGCCATATGCAAAACTGCAAATGCTTGACTGAAATATAGAAGTGAAAAAATTAAGCATTATTATAACAACAATCTTTCCTATTACGGAAAATGCAAGGGGTCATCCACGTGGGAGGATTCGCATATGCCCCTAACAATAGCGATAATGATAGGATGAGAGGACATCCGGACGGACCCCGACCCACGTCGCGCTTGTACCTAGACTCGACATGCCCACGCCTTTACCCTGACCCTGACACGTCTGCGCCCATATGCGTGTCTTATCAGCCCACCGCTCCTCTATCATGCCTCCAGCGCCACTCCCTCCCTCCCCCTCTCTCTGCGGTGTAGGCGAGCATCTTGGTATGGTGGTGCAACAGCCTCGGCGTTAGTGGGCCATGACGAGGAGGCAGGCCCGAGCGGCCCTCGACACGGCGGTGCAACGGCACCGATGGCCCCAGTCATGGGTGGACCAACGCAGCAGGGCCAGCACGAGGGGCTCCCCGATGGATCTGGCTCCCTCTTCGAGTCATGTGGGCGCTGCCTCCTTGCCGCGTCGTGCAGCCGCCGCTGCCTCAGGTGAACTCCACACGCCAACGAGCCTCTATTCTCTCAAACAACATGGAGATGTTGCATTGCGCTGAAAGCGCATGTTGCAAGCGTAATATTTCAAGTGTTTCAGATGTTTCAGAGGTATGTTGCAAGTGCTTCATATGGATGTTGCAAAAGTAAATCGGGATGTTGCACACATTGTTATATGTTGCAAGTGTTTTAAGTGAATGTTGCAAGCGTTTATTCAAAATATTTTATTTGTTTAGACGTATGTTTGCAAGCGTTTTGATCTGGATGTTGCATATGCACACATATGTGTAAGAGTATGTTCTAAATATTTTAGCCTTATATTGCAGCAGTTGTTTTCATGTTGCAAGTTGTAAGTGTTTATCTAGAGGTTGCATATGTTGTAATGGCTATACACGTATATTGCAAGTGTATGTTTCAAATGTTACAGCTGTTTTTAGAAGTATGTTGCAGGTATTTTATCTGGATGTTGCATATGTTGCAGTGCCTATTCACATTTGTTGCAAGCGTATGTTTTCAAATGTTTCATCTGTTTTTGACGTATGTTGCGATAAGTGCTTCATGTTGCAAGTGTTTTCAATAGCAGGCATAGGAAGCGAGCGCAGGCAGAAGTATGTTGTAAGTATTTTATCTGTATGTTGCAGTGCCTATATGAAAGCTCTAGTTTAGTTTTGGTGAATTGATGAAACCCTAAGTGCTAACCTAATTTATCAAGTGATCATGAGATAGGTAGCACACTCCAAGTGATGAAGCAAATGAAGATCATAGCATGATGATAATGATACCATGATGATGATCAAGTGCTTGGAGTTGGAAAGAAGAAAGAGAAAAAAAAGCTCAAGGCAAAGGTATAAACCATAGGAGCTATTTTGTTTTGGTGATCAAGACACTTAGATAGTGTGATCATATTTAGAATTGATAGCCGTACTATTAAGAGGGGTGAAACTCGTATCGGAATGCGGTTATCAAAGTGCCACTAGATGCTCTAACTCATTGCATATGCATTTAGGATCTAGTGGAGTGCTAATACCCTTGAAAATGTTTGTGAAAATATGCTAACGCTTGTGCACAAGGTGAAACACTTGGTGGTGTTGGCACATTTACAAAGGAGGTGGTGTTTGCAGGGTTGAGATGGATTCGGCGCTTTCGGGAAAATGGAATGTCTATTTTCTATTGCGCCGAATGCAAATTCTTGTGGTTGGCTCATTAGAGCAATGGTGAAGAAGTTAGAAGTGAAAACGAGTTGATCGCGAAGACGTTGGCGTCGGTCTACTGACCGAACGCTGGGTCTGAAAGCACCGGACCCTGGCTGCGTGTGTCTGGTCAAACTGACGGGTCTGCACAGTGTCGAAGGTATTGCACCGGACACTGATCTGTGTCCGGTCAAGGTGGACCGGACGCATTCGGTCGAAGAAATACGCCTCGGGGAGCTTACTGGAAACGACCGGACGCTGGGGCTTCAGCATCCGGTCAGTTTTACCGGAGCGTCCGGTCAACTACGTAGCCGTTGAAATCGGGCGATCGGCGTTTGAAGCCAATGACTCGTGGCGCTCATCGCACGACCGGGCGCTGAGGTCCAGCGTCCGGTCAATATGACCGGAGCGTCCGGTCGACCCGTGTTCAGCCCAGTGAAGGGGTACAACGGTTCTATTTCACTGGGGCTCTATTTATAGCCCCATGGCCGGCTCAAGCTCACTCTCTTGCACATTTTCATTGACATAGCAACCTTGTGAGCTTAGACAAAGTCCTTCCACTCATCTCCATCATTGATCCACCATCATTATGAGATTGGGAGAGAATCCAAGTGCGTTGCTTGAGTGATTGCATCTAGAGGCACTTGGTATTCATGTTGCGCTGCGGATTTCGCTTGTTTCTCTTGGTGGTTGCCACCACCTAGACGGTTGGAGCAGCGGTGGAGGATTGCCACGAGTTGGTGATTGTTCGTGGCCATCTCCGGTGATTGTAAGGGGAGTTGTACCTTCCCCGGCGGAGTGCCAAAAGGTAACTCTAGTAAATTGCTCGTGTCATTGAGTTACCTCACTTGTGGGTCGGTTCTTGCAGTGTCCTATCGTGTGGACGAGGTTTGTGAAACACCTCTTAGCCGCCGAACCACCAAGTGTTGGTCGACACAACGGGGACGTAGCGTGTTGGCAAGCACGTGAACCTCGGGAGAAAATCGATTGTCTCTTGTCTTTGGCATTCTTCTGGTGATTGGCTATATATTCATCTTGTGATTGGTTCATCCCTACACGTTGGTATAATCACCCTACTCACTTATTTACATTCTTGCAAACTAGTTGATACAAGCTCTTTAGTGTAATTAGAATTGAGAGCTTGCTTTATTATTTACATTCATCTAGTTGAGCTCTTTAGAGTAGCAAGACTGAGAGCTCTTAGTGGGTAATTACATAGCAAGTTTGTGTGCCTAAGTAATCATTGCAACGAGAGTTGTTGGATAGGTGGCTTGCAACCCTTGTAGAGCTAGAGCAAGTTTGTATTACGCTATTTGTCATTCTAATCAAATTGCTCTAGTTGATTTGTAGATTCTTAAATACGCTATTCACCCCTCCTCTAGCCATATTAGGACCTTTCACTACACACATATGTTGCAAGCTTATGATTCCAAATGTTTTATCTGTTTTAGACGTATGTTGCTGTAAGTGTTTCATGTTGCAAGTGTTTTCATTAGCAGGCATAGAAAGCGAGCGCAGACGGAGGTGGTCCTTGTGTGCATGCCCAACAGCATGGAGTGCATGCACAGGCATGCGTAGGCGCACAGCAGCAGCGCATGTGGGCGCGTGTAGCAGGAGCATGCAGGGGCGTGCAACATGCGGGGGTAAGCAACAGCAGCCAGGGCAGCATGCTTTATTTGCTTTGAGCTTGTCATATTAGCAAATCTCTCCTCAAAGTTGTGAGAGATGGGAGTGTAAGGAGAGGTGGAAGATGTGTGTCTGCCTAGTCCACCTATAGGAGTGGAAGGAAAATAGAATAATGCACATCTGTGGCTACCGTCCAAACAGCCGAACACTGGCCCTTGTTGGTACGACTGTGTTTGCCTACCTAATGCGCATGTTGTTGCTGCCTGCCCCGCCTACTACACGCGTCTGCTGCTTCTACGCGCCTAAGAGCATCTCCAAGAGTACCCAAAACACTCTCCTTATATAGGATTTTTAGCAGGATAAGGAAAAACCATCTCCAACAACTTCTAATACCACCTCTAATCTTTTTTAGGACTTAGGAAAAAAGCCTCCTTCCGCGTAAAGATGCGTGTATCTTCGTTCCCCCACGCAGAGAATCCGGACGGGGGGAGGCGTGTGCTGGCGCCGTCAACAGCTCGTACCGGCG